CTCTTCATGCCTCTAGAGTCGCCTCTTCATGCCTCTAGAGTCGTCTCTTCATGCCTCTAGAGTCGCCTCTTCATGCCTCTAGAGTCACCATCAGAGAGGCGTTCTAGCTCTAAGAACCTCGTTTTAAGTATAGCTAATAACTCCTCACCAAACACAAGCATCACTGATGCGCAGAATTGCTTTAGTTTAGCAAAAATTTTATTAATTTTCCATCATTTGTTTATGATTATAAGTTATTACTTGTTTGGTGAACAAGAACCTGGTGCTGGGAGTGTCTTTAAATAGTTCAATAATGTGGTTTTTGTTCATAAGTCCAGAAAAATCCCGTTGACACAACGTTTAATCAACGTTGATACAACGAAATAACGTGGATTAAACGTTATTTCGATAAAAATCATTTAGTAATCAAAGTGGTTTTTACTCCACTGGAATGAAAGATTATGAAAAGGCAATGAATTCACCCGAAATTTGTCACGCAGTAGCGAAAAGAGTCCTAAAAATCAATGTCGGCTGCCATGTCACGAAGCACGACGCCTTACTTAAGTATGCAGGCCAAAGGATTGCTTGTCTTCGGCAATCTCAAGGTAGCCTTTGAAGTTTTGTCCAATTATGTGCTTTTATGTCTTTCCACCAAACAGGTTTACAAGGGTTTATTTTTCACATGGCCACTAGTGTTTATTATTTACATGTATTTTAGGGTTCATCCCAAACATTTCTTCAAAGGTTCATTCCAATCCTGTGTATTATGGCTCATTTCAGTCGAATGGAAAGCTTCTCTTCAAACTTTGCTTAAATGTTTGTAGCAATTCAGCTGTTTTCGTGAATATTATTTCAAAAAAACTCTGTGCTTGTCCATATTTTACTGTTGTTTTATTACAGTCGTGGATACATTTCTCTTATTTTTCTATTTTGCCGATCTTCGGCCTGATGTGAAAACTTTGCTGCCAAATGACAGGCCTATCCAGGCCTATTCTTGAATGCCGAAGATACCATACTAGATACTAAATGATCAATCAAATTTGGCATCAATCAAATGATCAATCAAATTGCATCAAATCATTTGATGCAATCAAATTTGGCATCATAGAGCGGAGTATTTTACTTTAGGGGTTCTGCATTTTTCGCATTATAGTGAATATAATCCATTTATTGTGATTGCATATGTATAACTTAATCAGTTTACGTGTTTTCCGTGATATAAAATTGGTTTGTATCGTAATTATCGTGACCTGCTAATTCAACATCGTAAATTTCAACATTATTCTTTGGAACGTTTTCGAGTTGCCTTGATTTAACTTCAGTACTCTCTAAAGTTACAACCAAACAAACAAACGTGAATAGAAGTAGTGATTGTTCAAAAAAATTTATGAATAGTTTCATCCGGTAAAACCTAATCGAAATTTTTCTCTCTGATTATAAGCGATATCATAACATTATTCATGATCATGATCATTAACAGTTTTTTACGAAGGAGAAATGAGTAAAAGTGATCATTAGGCGCTGAAAATATATATTTTTTTATGAATATTTTTTAGATTAATTTAATGCAGTGAATCGCTTAAGTTCCCGTGATATATATATCATTAGAACAACTAAAGTGCATCGCCGATTACAAGTACACGTGTGGCGTGAATAAAATGGATTGGCTCATCAATAAATACAGGATAAAAGTTCGTGGAAAGAAATGATATTTATCATTTTTCACAAACTTTCTTGATATGACAGTCATAAATCCACTCCTGCTTTACAAGGCAAACGGACAAATGCCCTTGCTGGAATTCAAGAGGAGAATAGTATGGGTATATGTGCAAGTATCATCTTTGTCAGATCCTAAGAAGTCAGGTCGCCCATCATTCAGTAAGGAATCAAAGCGGTGAGTGATAGAAGACTTTGGAAGGAGTAATTCAGGGCATGTTCTGCAGCGAACAGATGTTGAAAAACAACGGAATTGCGTCGTTTGCAAAATAAATGTCCGAAAGAAATGTACCAAGTGATTCGTTGGGCTATACGTTGAAAGCTTCCTTGAATGGCATCAGTGAAATTACTCTCATTTTGAGGGTAATTATTACTTTCTTATATTCAGTTTCAAAGGAGCAATACTTCTTTATGTAATCTCATTAATTTTGTGGTGACAAATAAAGGAATGTGCATTTAGCATTAGAAAGAGGCACTAATAACACATACTCACTTCATAAATTTGGAAATAATAATAAGAACGGTCACGAAAAATAATTGGTATTTTTTATTACCCTTTTGCCCATGATCCCCATTTGGGACTTTTTCTTTAAACTACTGCTACTCTCGTTATATCCTCTAAAATTGTGCAGAAACTGTTTTATATGAAATATTTACACCATATGAAGGTGTTCAGACAGAAATTTCACAAATCAGAAATTTGGGCGTTAATGGGTTAAGTATGCAGGCCCAGCGATTGCTTGTCTTCGGCAATCTCAAGGTAACCTTTGAAGTTTTGTAAAATTTTGTGCTTTTATAGCTTTCCCCCAACCAGGTTTCCAAGGGTTTATCCTTTACATGGCCTCTAGGGTTCATCATTTACATGTATTTTAGGTTCCATCCTAAACATTTCTTCAAAGGTTCATTCCCAATCCTGTCTATAATGGCTCATTTTATTCGAATAGAGGGCTTTTCTTTCAGCTGTTTTCATGAATATTATTTGAAAAACTCTGTGCTTGTCCATCTTTTACTGTTGTTTTGTTACAGTCGTGGATATATTTCTCTTATTTTTCTATTTTGCCGATCTTCGGCCTGATGTGAAAATTTTACTGCCAAATGATGGTTTCAATCAAATTTTGAGACTGAGGGTAGCGTTATTTACTTGATGGATTCTGCATGTTTCCAATTGTAGTTGATATAATCAATTGATTGTGATTGCGTAGGTATAATTTAATTCGTATACGTATTTTCTGTGAAATGAAATTGGTAATTTAATCGTAATTATCGTGACCTGATGATTCAACATCAAAAATTTCCACATTACCCTTTGGAAAGTTTTCGAGTTGTAATGATTTTACCTTAGTACTCTATAAATTGATAACAAATCAAAATAACGAGAATATAAATGCCTCGCAAATATTTCGTTAGGAGTTTTAACAAAAGACGCTTCCAAGATTCGTATGGCGTCATCGTATGTAGGGCAATCTTCAATTAAATCGAAGACAGTGTGTGACACATAGTTAATCAAAGTTCGTAATTTGTCAGGGGCGTTTTCTCCACATTCGGCAATGAAGTTCTGGAACGTTCGTTTCCAATGTTTCCATTCCTTGGATGCCGTTGGTGAATTAGGATCCAGGTCGAGTCTCGATGGCTTCAGTAATTTTTCCATTGGGATAATGTTCAGTAAATTGATGAGGGATCAAGGATCGAATAAACTTGGGCAATCCAAGCTTTACTGAACAAATGCCCAGTTACCTGGAAACATAACAACTAATGTAAAATACTTATAAACGCAACACGGAACGATATAACATAACGGTAACAAGGGAAATATATAAGTCAACAAGTAAGATTCGTAGAGGTGCACTTACATCATAGGACAGCAGGGGTCAGGCCCATTCGTACTGGCTATTGCATAGAGACTGACAACACCTAGTCGCAGCCGGACCTCATTACACCTTGCTACATGACGTCACGCACTAGTTCTCTATTACGACAATATATAAAAAATCATCATTTTTAATGCACCATATCTATTGCTATATTGACTTTTTGAATGCAGGAATAGAAAGACATTCATGAATTTTAATAATCGACCTCTCATGGTAGACTAATTTTTTCTCCATGTTTATTTTCTAGGACTCCAGGACGAATTACAAATTATGGATTTTCCGTTAGTGCGGAATATTTAGTTGGTATTTGTAACAGGTGTTGAGGAAGTGAGTCACTCATTTTTTATTACCTTTTGACTGCAGTGCCAGTCAGTCAAGGCAACTGTTTTTGCACCTATAGAGTCACTGATTTCTATCAATTATTTTCTTGAAAAATTTAATGCTCAGCATCTAAATTTTCAAGAATCCTCAACGAGTATTCCATCAGGCTTCAAACATGAGTGGGTATTTGTAATAGCTAATATGTATTATAATGCAAGAATTATTGTTTGTAGACTTGCACTCACTGCCCACTGGCACTCTGGGAGTCAATACTCAACACTCAACAGCCTCACCAGAACAAGAGAAGAAGGGTGACTTGTCACTTGTTGTAAATTCAGGGTGGAATTCTAGAAATGTAAGTTCACTTATAAAAAAGCTTTCCACCCAAGGTGGAATGCTTTCCTTAGATACAGTGAAAAACACCCTTTTTTGGATACACTTAATCTAAAGTAATACCAAATTTAGATTTGATTCACTAAGTATTTGAAGACTTTTCACCTCCTTTGTAATGCCTTGAGCTTGATTTACGGTCGAAATAGATCAATAGCTGAAGCGCTTGTAGACATTTAGCCATTAAACTAAACTTGTCTTCATTTAGCGGTAGAAACGGCAGTTTCTATATATTTCGTGCTATGATGCATTGCGTTGAGATTTTTTAGATAACTATTTGACTCAAGTTGATTCGTTGCTGAAAATAAGTGAAATTCTAACTAACTGATGACTTTATGTTTTCCGGTTTGTCGGATGAGACTGTACAGCTGCAGCGCAATCTGCAAGTCGCGGAATCGGTCGCGATGTGATCATGCGGAAGCCACATTGACTGCTGTAGTTCCTGGGGAGTGGGGGATATACTATTTGAACTTTTAGCAGCTTCATTATTAAAAATTGCTTGGCGACACATCCTGAAGACTTCTGGTGGCGACGGTGACAGTTATTGAGTAATGTTGGCGACGTTTGGGGCTTAAAACTAGTATCTTGGCGACGCTGCTTGCACTCTCTGCACCCTGGCCAAAGAGAGACAATGTACCTAAGTCACCCAGTGAAAACATTGAAAATTGTGTCGAAGTTGATAGTTGACCTTTCTTTACCAAATAGTGATAAACTGTTTGTGTAGAAAGAATATTATGGTTTGAGACTTTTAAATACGTCTATGAATATATTAGGAATCCTTTAAGTATACTTCTATTTGCTGATTTCAAGTGGTAAAAAAATTAATAGATGATTAAGTTAAGAGACAGTTTTAGACACATAAAAACTAATTCTGACACAGCTTGGAATTAAACACACACAGCTTGTTCCAAGCTCTGTGCAAAAATTAAAATTTTCTTAATTAAAATCTTGATAGCTCTTAATTAAATGCCTAATTAAGTAGTGTTCAATATTCAATACCATAAAATGGGGTAACTTAGACCACTTTTTTTTATAAATGATGCCATTTTTTACTAGCTAAATTAAACTTAAATTGAAACGTGAAAAATACTCTACTACTATACTCTACTAACTACTCTACTAACTACTAACTACTCTACTACTAACTACTCTACTAACTACTAACTACTCTACTACTATACTCTACTAACTCTAGCTTCACTCACCATAAATAGCTGGCTCCTGCCTCTCATAGTCTTTATGTAATTTAAAAAAAATGATGGTCTTTGTTACCCCAGCTCTTGGGGTATCTTACTAATAATCTTAGACCGGGTGGTAAAATCAATTATATTTTTTTGGTAAAATAACTTCAAATAACTCCAGTCTCCAGGTTTTGGTGCATTGTAGTTGAACTCTTCTAGTTACATACGTATGCAAATGACAAACTTGAGGAAAGTGTCATAGTTTGCAAATGGGGGGCGCCGCCCCATAATGGGGGAAATAGTCTCACAAAATGCCAAATTTAGTCACACACAGTGTCAGAATATATGGATTTGGTAGGTTTGCATTCTAAAGGCTTTTAAATAAATATGGCAACATTTTGTGATGTTTCATTGTTTCTGGCGCGTAGTGCAGTGTTTTGAGAGTAATGTAAAGCAAACAGAACTCAAGTTGCGTGTACGGTGTATATTTTATAGCCATTCATTTTTTGCTACGTCCTTAAACAAGGTAAAGTGTTGGAATATACGACGTTTACCCTACTAAATCATTATTAGTCTATCAAAAATATTTCTGTTCAGCTGCTCCATATTTCAGTTATTTGTTCCAGTGACAAACTGACAACCATAGTGATAGTGGCAATTGGCAAAGCAGATATTTTTTTAGACCAGAAACTTTTTTAGACATTTCCTTCCTGAGTTGGGCCAACTGGTGGAATTCTTCCAAACAGATTGTCACAATAAATAATCAGTGTAGAATTTTTGATAGGTAGTATATTCTCACATAATCACATTCATATAAGAAAATGGATTGAAAATCTAGGTACCACATTATACCTTCATTGCAGTGACAATTGATACACTGAAGCTGACTGAGCTAAACAGTGGATATCAAACTCTATACATAATAGATACACTGAGCCATATATAGTTTTCATTCTTGAAAAAATAACACTGACAAACATCCTGTACTTTTTACCATAACTTGGGTAAGCCATTACAATATCTTCATCAGCTTAGTTTACCATGTTCACATGTTGCTTGTATTTCCATTACCTTTACCACAAATCAGTCAACTGAACCATTTCACCTTTTGCCTAGGATTGTACAATGTAATGAACCTATGTAATTCTAAGTTTCTAACTTGTGAAGTTGTGGACAACAAATGCTTCCATCTGCAGCAGCTCAAAAATAATGATCATTTTTTATTTTATGTATCAAGATGAAGCTTTGAGTTGATACCCAAAAATATAAGTTACAAATAACACATTGGTTGTATTTATATCCAGTGTTAGAATATATTAATAAATAATCAAGATGATATTTTTTTATACAGAGCTACATCTTGCTAACACCTGCATGGCCAAATTCTTCATAAAGAGATGATGATACGTGTATCTGAAAAAATTTTACAATTGTATCTGAAAAATGTACAATTTATTAAAAGCTTTTGTTACTAAATTCATCTAAAAATGTATAGGCATAATTCTAATAAAAATAGATTGATTGATTGTTAGAACAGAGTTTAGTTGTTAGTTTGTTAGTTACAAGTTTAAATTATTAATTTAATAGTAATAACATGGGACAGCTTATTTGTAAAATTGTCCAATGAAGTGGCTGTTTAGTTTTCATTGCTTTCAACAATGCTCAAAGATCAACAAGATTGACCGTAAAATCATAGATGTTGTAAGCTCGTTCTGCAATTTTACTAGCGCAATCAAATTTTAAACTATGCTTCTACAGATCAAATTAGAAGAAATGATTACTAACGCAATCATCATTCTCTCTTAGATCTGAACTCTTGATTCCAAATTAAAAACAAATTTACTGCCTGTAAGCCTGTATGTTATTATTGATATAGTTAATAGTTATTGCTATACGTATATTGCAGATTTTATTAGTCAAGACTAGGTATATATATGCAGTTTCTATTAGTCTGTATATGCAGTGTCAAGATTTTATGTACACATTTTCCTTTAATCAAGATAGGAAGCATTGCTCAAGGCTCACTTACTTTGATTCTTGGCATGGTCTATGCTCGAGTTTAATGGTATCCTACAATATTGCTCCCAACATATCTCCTCCATATGATTCAATATTCCACATGCTATGATATGAGAATTGTGTAATTGCAAGTACCATCATCTCAAATCCAATGATATTGAATCTTGTTGCTAATTATATAGGTAGCTACTAATTTTCAAATCATACTACAAATCATAATACTTTTTATTTTTTTATTGGTTGTGTCCAATATGCAATGCTTATTGGTTAATTTAACACTGCTCTATATTTCCAGCCTGCAGTGGCTGGAATAATAGCACTGCAGTGCCTACAGTGGAATAACATGTCATTCCATTTCCATGTTTTGATTTCACATTATTCGTTTCAGACTCAATTCCTGGAATGGAGAATGTGTTAAATAAACTGCGCTCAACAATGAGCAGTGCTGCTTCAAATGCAGTTTCTAATGCAGTTTCCATAGCTTCTCAGGTACGGTATGAAAAAAAAAACTTAGTTTGCTGCTTTCTAGTAATTTTTGCCTACATGTTGGAAATTTAAATTAAAATTGTGTTAACCTTTTCTTGCAGAATAATGCTGTATAGGTATATATTGCAGGCCTATATGGTATATATATACATTATTAGATATCTCATAAATGTTTGCATTAATCAAGCACGTTCCTGGTAATTAGTAGGTAGGTAATGCAAATTCTCTTCAGGTCAATTTGAATGATTTTGTGCACTTATGAATCATAAATATGCATTGTCATGATTCCCATTACTAATTTGTGTTTCAAGACAAGTCTTGATATACGTAGTACCCATGGTACCTGTCTTGATGTTACTTTTGTTCAGGTGTCAAACTATTTACCCGGCAACCCTGTGACTCGAGAATTTGAAGCAATTGCTCATATTGCATCTGCTGGCCCAGGTGAGCTTTTCTAGGTCTGGGCTATTTATTATATACATATTTTTTATGCTCTATAACTTATATTAATGAACATTATATTTCTTTATAACTGCTTAAACATGTCTGATGTCTGTTGGTTGGTAATTTACGTTTTATAGAATTTCAATGGTGTGTGGTGTTTTTAAAATTTCCATTAACCTTAAGGGGAGCGTCTAGGGTAAAATTTTGGATTTAGGCTTTTCCGGTTTTTGGTCTCATCTTAAAGCTGACATTCTGATCTATCCAACGGTACCAAAACCATCTCTGTACCGGTACGTTGATTTATGCATTCACGAAGTTTTCCATGTTTCAAAAATAGAATAGAACTAATGAAGCCAGATTGACTAACCTAAACCTACATTATGCAATAAACACAAATTTCCTACCATATGAGATTGAAAATATTAATGAAGTGCACCATACAAAGTTTGTGTTGCTACTGTATACTTTAAGCAATGTAAATTAATACATTGCTGTTTTAGTATCGCTCTTGTATGCTCTTATGTACCTACCTACTTTGAGAAATGTATACCAGTACAGTGTCGTATAGGTATTAATACATTGCTGTATAATATTTATATATATGTTGACACATTGCTTAAAGATTAAAGCTCCTGTGAGCTCTTTTGTATAGTAAGCTGATGTGAGAGCTATTTACAGGTTTGTCCTGGAAGATCTACAGTGGATACAAGAAGTCCAGTCACCAGGATGTGTCTCTGTTTGTGTTTGAGAAAAGATCTCTGGACCGCTGGGACCGGCAGCACCGGGACCTTTTTCTGGACCTGCTCAGGAAAGGCGTTGCACAGCTCACTCGTTTGCGGCACCCTCAGGTAAGATCAAGCATATATAATTGCTTATGGGGAATGCTTGATTATTTATTCTTACTATAATCAGGTGAGGATTGTTGATATTTTCTAGACACATTTTCACCCTCAGTAGTAATTTGTTAGCAAAAATTTTACCCTCGGCAATAATTTTATTGCAAAATTACCCTCTTCTATGACTATGAATCATAATTCCATTCGGTATTTTAACTTAAGTATATGTTGCAGATCCTGACCGTGCAGCACCCTCTGGAGGAGTCCCGGGACAGCTTGGCATTTGCCACGGAGCCTGTCCTAGGTTCCCTTGCTAACGTCCTGGGCAGCGGATGCCATAACCTGCCCTCTCCTGTGCCTGCTGCTCTGCAGGGATACAAGCTCGAGGACGTCGAGATCAAATACGGCTTTGTGCAGGTACAGCTTTGTGCAGGTACAGCTTTGTGCAGGTACAGCTTTGTGCAGGTACAGCTTTGTGCAGGTACAGCCTTGTGCAGGTACAGCTTTGTGCAGGTACAGCTTTGTGCAGGTACAGCTTTGTGCAGGTACAGCTTTGTGCAGGTACAGCTTTGTGC